ATCATTGCTATGCTGTCTAACACAAACTCTTGCCAACACAGGTTAAATTCTCTATCCATGGACTTCATCTCTATCCCACTTTGATCACTTCTTAACGACTGTAATTACTTTTAAATTAATGAGTCCAGTTATTGCTCATTTGCAATGTAAGCCTTCTTCATTTTAGGAGTGACTTATAACTAATTCCTCTTACTTAAACAACACATGGCCAGACAGACAGCTTATGAAAAATGCAAAAAAACCACCACCAAGAAGACAATGGTCAATTTGACTCTTTAACTCTCATGTGTGACCAAGAAAGAATTTCTCCACACAGTACCAATACAATATCAAGCTGACAAGTAATGAGAATACAGAAAAATATCAAATCAAGGGGATTTTCAGTTGATCAAATATCAAGTTCTCTTAGAATTGTATGGCAGTTTCTATAATCAAGAAATGGATAGATATTCTAGTCTTCTCGGATAAGGATGAACAAACCGTAGGCCTGTCTCCTGCAGGGTTAGGGGTAGGAGACGTTAATTTCTCACGCATTAGATTACTGTGTGGATGTCCTCCCTTGGGTGGGATGAGTGAGTGTTGGCCCTGAAAAGCTCCTATGGGGAGTGGTCAATTAACCTATGTATGTATGTATGTATGTATGTATGTATGTATGTTTGTATGTATGTATGTATGTATGTATGTATGTATGTATGTATGTATGTATGTATGTATATGACTTAATGTACCCAATGGTCTCACGAATTACCATTAACAGTGCAAACTTTGTACCTTTACAAACAAAGGTTCATGCGATGCACGGCGAAGGGACATGTACTCGGCCTTTAACTGCAGACCCACTGAAGGGGCTACTTGACTTGACCAGAATAACGATGGTGAATTTTATCTTAATTGAACGTGGTTGTCTTTTTCGCGTGGGATGAATAGGCTTTGGACGATAGTTTTCTCGTCCGATCTACAGAGACGCGCGGATCGTATTAACATGATGAATCTATGGAGTAGTTTGAGAATTAAGTAGGATTATAAGAATAGATTACCACAAACCTTCTTTCTTCCATAATCAACAGCAATCTTGAGAAGGCTCAGACTTTTATCTAACTTCCTAAGACGCTGGGGGTTCCCTCGCAGTAAGAAGCCGTCTCCCTCGATGTCCATGATCTCGTACAGCTCAGTCACGGTGCTTTCCTCCAGGACATCAGCAGCGAACGACTCGTAAGCTTCGACGGAACTCTTGTAATCCTCCAGGCTATAGTAATGCTCGCAAGAGGCAATCTTATCCAGTAGATATGCATCTTGTAAAGCATTTCCTATAGCATCCTGATCTTTATTTTCCTGGCAATCTTCACATTGACAGTCGGTGTTCGTTCTCCAGAGCCATTCAACTCCGATGTATAGAGGGTTAGAAAGTATTTTGATCCACTTTCTTTTCCTCGCTTCATCTTTGCGTTCTTCCTCTTTCTGTTGCGTCTCGTTTACGCTGTGAACACCACTAGGAGAATAAGTATCTCCGATACAAGATGATTTTTCCGGAGGTTCGCAATGGAAATTGCAGCTCTTTGCTCTATTCCGCACTTTCTTGGCGATGTCCTTGCTAACTCGATACATGACTTTTAGCGTCTTGATGGGATGATTGGTTTCAACGAGATCCCAAACTTCAGATGCATCATTTTTCTCGAGGGCTTCGAGTAAGTCATCTGCAAGTTTATCCTCCGAATTCCTTTCCCTTACTTTGTCTTGGTCGATCTCTTTCGGGTCTTTTCTTTCGTCTTCTTCTTTCTTGATTTTACTAAGGCAATTGTACAAGCCACTTTTTCTCTGTTCCACTTGCTCATCATCTGCATGAACCGTCTGCGCCATTGTTGTAGCTGTTGCAGAATGAATACCCCCTAAAAGGTAGATTTACAGCGTCTTGTTCGTTTTCTTTATACTTTAGTCATACAAAGCATTCTGTTTTTTAATCACTGAAGACGCCTGTTTCCGGTTTCCTAAGAAACTTGTGCTGTGGTTTCCGTGGTATGATGTTAATTTTCATTTTACTTTCAAAACGTACGTTAAAAAAAAAAAAAAAAAAAAAAAACACTCAGCGTATGTTTTTTTCGAACTGTAATAGCTCCGAGAATGTAATAATAGACAAAATAATCGAAGCTGGAATAAGTGGAAAATCGCGATTACGGGCAGAAACTAGTGGGTCACGAAAGATATTTGAAGGAAACAAACCCCGGTAGTATTGAATGACATATATTCATAACTTAATGTTATCAATGGTCTCACGGATTACCATAAACTGAGCAAACTTTGTACTTTGTACAAACAGAGGTTCGTGCGACGGCGAAGGGTCGAAAAATCCCTTTCGGAGAAAATAAACATGAACGGCGATAGACACGGCAAACCAAACCTACTTTGTATGCATGAGTGAAGTTAGTTTAAATTGACGTTTAGGAGCCAAGGCGAGCAACGATGAATAAAAGAATGAGAAAATTTTGAATGAAAAAAAAGTGCATTAAAAATGGCTTCTGCCAGAATAATTCTTTATTTGTGGTTAGAAAAGTTTCTGCATGTAAAAGATTTCGAGTCATGATTTAATAATTATACATTGCGTGACCAGCTCATAAGACGGGCGGTTGTCTTCGCATGACTACGACTTTGCACTGTCAACAGTGAGACAGTATTGAAATTGTAATTAGTACTTCTTCAGGGATCGAGAGTTCAGGAAACTAAACGATGTATTGTTAGAAGTGTCAGACATAATGTCGACATTTTTGTGTGAAATAAAGTACTGAGTTTTGGTTTGATGTCGATTGATTTTTAGTTCCATCATTCCATCTGTCTGCGTGTCACGTTTAAGGATACGAACTCTAATCTTTTTTACTTATGTAACTCTTCCGTTTTTAAGCAGAAAGACACTAAGAAACTTTCAATGACTTTCTATTAAATTTGTTAGCGCGCTTTGTTTGATTTCTATTCCGTGACTAGCGAATATCCGCTCGAAGCTAGCTACATAAAGCACTGTTCATTTCTATTACCTCTGCGTCAAAGTGTAAGAACTAAATTCGCCTTCTGTTAGCAAGTAGTCAGTTGCGAGGAGTCATTGTAGCGAAACCATTTCAGAGCCGAACGGAGTTTAGGAGTTCTCTACCCCGGAGTCAAGATCCGATGTAAGTTACGCTCGTAATATTCCTCATTTTTATCATTTCTGGTTTCGTAGTCTTTCGGTCTTCCTTATATCGAACCTTCATGTATCCGTTCTATAGTTTTTACCGCCTGTGCTGTACAACTGAAGACTGCTAGCTTAAGTGAATAAAGAGTTTGATGCTGCTACTTGTCTAAAGTTCAACACTGTGGTTATACTGGCAAACTCCGGTGCACAACACCACGTGTCTGCGGCATCGGGAACGCGACACTGCGCAAATGACTGACTTCAGAGCAAATTTGACTTACAGAAGTCATTAGCACCTCGCTCGATATTCACTCAAAGGCAAGCGTAAAACCGCATTTTTCTTGAGTTTAAACTAGCTTCATAGAAGAAAGCGGGTGAAGATTTCATATGACCCCCTACAAGTACCATTCTAGAACGAAGCCGTAGTCCGGCAAAGGCGATCAACTTTTGACATTTTTGTTGTACTTTTAATCCAAGTATCATGATAATATGTCGATAATGAAGAATGGAGTTTTACAGAAATCTTGCCAGAACTCTTTCTTAACACACAAGTTTTGCATCCCTTTTAAATCACGACGTGTATTTATGATTACATTTCCAAATAACACAAACAAGGTCTCTAGAAATGTGTACAAATTATACACTTTTGACTTCAGGCCAAAGTCGCTGATCACCCAGAGTGTGATCGCTGGTCGCATAAAGCAAAAAAATTGCGATAAAAGTTCGGCTTCCTTAGTAAAGAAAACATTTCTAGCGGTTAAAGGGGAGCTTTTGGAAGAGATTTGGAATCCTGGATCTGTTTTCAAAGATTTCGTGATAGCTTTGTAAGACACGCGGTCGTCATAATCTAACGAGGACATAACACGGTACTAGATTGTATGCTCACAATGTGCTATTACTGATATAACGAGTGATTTGTCCGAGATCGAGAGGTAAGACGACTAGCTAGTCCACATATTTCAACGCACTTTCAATGTTTTTTTTTGTGAAATAAAAAAAATTATACACTGTTACAGCAGGCTTGATATCTGATTTAATTTCCTTCCGACTGCGCAAATTAACCGACCACACTGCAAACTTGACTGATACAATTTGGCCCCTCACTCGACCTTCGACAGAAAGGCAAGCACAGAAGAAACGTTACTGAATCAAAACTAGCTTTACTAAAGGAAAAAATATCTTCGAACGCAATTTCAGTCTAAGCTCTAACCTGATACGAATGAATATCTCTCATGAGTTAGGCCAGGATAAGGTTCGTACGTGACACGCGTGCTTGTATTTGATTTAATTTTCAATTGACATCCCTCCAAATATCATCCAGACTGAGAAAACTAAGGTTTCATAAAATATGCAGAAATTATGCACTTTACCTCAGCTGACGATTACCTCAGAGTTCCTCCTGGAGTCGGGAAAGGGTCGCCGATTGCATTTGATCGCTCGCTGCCGAAAGAAAACAAGATGGTGAGTCGAATGTGCTTGCATACATTAAGTTAGAGAAGCGAAGGGTGGTGGTTTATTATACAATCAGTTATATATTCATCACAGGGTTGACGCGTAGCGTCAACTCTGTGATGATAGGTGTGTGGTGAAAAAGTACACGTAGGCACTTTTGTTTGTTTTTTGATTGTTTTTGTTTGTTTTTTGTTTGTTTTTTGTTTGTTTGTTTGTCGTTTCTTTTATGAAACAAGCTTATTTGGAGCAAAATCAGATACATCATGAGTTTGCACATTTATGTATATGTAAAGCGATAAAGAAAACATTTATAAAAATAATTAAGAAAATTTGAATGTATTAAAAGAAGAAAAAAACCGCAAGCGCACGTCAGTGGTAGGTGTACGCAATTCAGTAATGAATAAAATCTTTTTGCAACTGGCTACAAATTGGTTATTTATCGTGATGAGAGAATGAGCTGATATTTCTTCCATAACTAGTCATGAATAAAGCTACCAATTAGACGCTAGTAGACCTTAGTAGAAAGAAGTGGAACGATTACGAGGAAGAATAACTCAGATACGCAAAGACACAACACCATAGCCTGTCATTACATGCATTATAGCCTGACAGGTCCAATACACACAAAGCCCCTACTAAAACCAAAAGCAGCTAATCAGCTTAAATGCTATTCTCTACGATGGGTTATAGATGAGCACAATAATTTAAGCGATAGTATATCTCACATCTTTGTCTATGAGCAAGATTCTGATCATCTAAGTGATAGTCTCCTTTAAAAACTTTCTATGGCCTCGTCACGCAAACACGCTTACTGTTACTACTATTATTACTTTATTGTCGTTACACCACGTATCTACTTGAAATTAAAGCTGCTGACTGTGTAACATGAAGAAGCTCAGGCGCGCGTTTTCAACATGGTGGACAGCGTAGAGATAGTTCAGTTTGGAGAGTAAAACGAACTTAGCCAGATTTCATCCTTGATTTTTATAGAATGGAAAAGGAAGAAACTCTCTGTCTCGATAAACTTGAAAACTCATACAGGGAAGTTGAGAAGCAACTTAATTTATGGAAGGATACCCAGCGTCATTCTACTGAACTGATTCAGTCGTTAACCAGTCCAATGGAGCAACTTCGCTCTTGTGCGAAAACCTCTTTCGAACGTTCTCCTCTATGTGATTTTGAGGGATTAAGAGAGAAACTTCAACACAAGCTTTTAAAGCGAATAGAAGGTATCATGGGAAAGATTCAAGATGACATGTAAGCAATTTATGTAAATTTAGTTCCAACTTGCAATTGATCGCGCAATTGACTCCAGCCCCTCATTAAAGGTCTGGGATTTTTAAGGGGGAGGAAGGGAATCAATACCACATATTTCCCAGAGGGGTCGACCCATAACATTAGGGGTCTGGGGGGCATGTTTTTTCTTGCATTCTAAGATGGAAATTTTTCATTTTTCGTGGTAATTTTGCTAAGAAAGTTGTGCTGGAGTAATAAACAAAGCTATTACCCACCAGCATAAAGTGGACACGTGACAAATAATATGCAGAGCTTGACAAGAGTAAGATTTTTTACCTCATATGTCATATTTACTTTGGAAGTGGATTAGAATTAGAGTGACACTGTTAACTGCTCATAGTAAAAGTTGGTAAAACCTACATATCTGAAAATGGTAACCTGGATGATGAGACGGTATGGTGCTAGTGGACCAAGTGTACGGTGTGGTGCTTGTGTATAGTGTGCTGCTTGTGTACCATTTATTGTGGTGGTTGGTGGAGTTTTGTATGGTGTGGTAGACACTGTTGCCAGGAAAGTTGTCAATTTGGGCTCTGTAATGCCCATAGCCCCCACACCTGTGGGAAGAGCACTGGGACTGGAAGTGTCTGCTTCCTTGACACTGGTGACAATGAGGTTCTGTAGACACAGTTGCCAGGCAAGTTGTTAATTTGGGCAATGGGCTTTGTAATGCACATAGCCCCCACACCTGTGGGAAGAGCACTGGGACTGGAAGTGTCTGCTTCCTTGACACTGGTGACAATGA